GTAAACACAGATCAATTTTACGCTTTACAAGTCTGCTCTGCAGCCAATTTTAGGTCCACACTGGCCAAAGTAGGAGACTTTGACTACCCTATGACTTCACTGGGACTCACAGGGGAGTGAAGAATTTGATCACAGTCAAAGTTATCAAAGTAATCCAATGAAAAGCCTCTTGCGGATTTGGCTGCCCAGTCGGGGTGCGTCCTGAGCTCCAGGATGAATTCAACCGGTGTCTTCTGGAGGATGTAAGGGTCGAATGAAGTGCCACGGAAGAACGTCTGCATCTTGAAACACTCCAGATTACGAAGGCGGTTCATCGGATTCTTGCACAAAAGCTACATCAGTATGGTGATAAAGAGATGAGTATGTCACTATAGCTCTAAGGTGGCACAAAGTAAAAAGATCAGTGGATACTGACCTCAGTGAGGAGTAGGATCAGAGCAGAGCTGAACGTCTCGGGCACCGCATAAGAAAAATCTCTGACCTTTGCCAGCATGCGACAGTGGTCTATTTCTGCCGTTAGTGGAAACTACAAATAGAGAAACAAGTGGATTTAAAGCAAAAATAATCTGCACTTTCAGACACTTTTCTACACACAGAGCCGTGAAATAGTGAGTTTAAGTGTCTTCACCTTTCCTGTCGCCAGTGAGAACAGCATAATCCCAAGAGACCACCAGTCAGCAGCATGGTTGTACGGACCCCCGCTCAAGATTTCAGGAGCTGCTCACCCAAAACAGAGATCCACACATCCACATATATGTTTATATATATGTGTGTGCATAAAAGGAAAAAGTTAAATGCAGGGAAGAAAATACCTCTTAATAATAGAGCAAAAAGTAATAACATGCAGAGTACATTACAGGTGCATCCCATTCACAACTGGGTCAACTGAATCCAGGGGGAATGAAACACAGGTGAGGCTCTCATGTTAATGTTAGTCATGGAAAACAATCACAGAGTATCTGTGGCACGACCACAAATCTCACCCATGTACTGGATCGTCCCACATATTGTGAAAGCTCGCCCTCCTCGTTTCAGGCGGCGAGACAGACCGAAATCAGACAGTCGAAGGTGACCTGAATAGAGGCAAAAAAACAAAGAGAGACTGATTTGTAGAAATAAAACCATAAATGTTTCCATAAGAGGGGTCTTGAAGTTGTCAAGTTTATATTAAAGAGATTTTAAAGAGGTTTTAAGTTAGTGTCTTGGCAACACTCCTGAGCTGTGATGTCATGCTTATCTGCTGTTACCTGCGTTGCATCCGTACTCATCTAACCATGATTTCTCTAAATACTTCAGTCTTAAAAGTGTATCATCAACAACTGCAGAAGAGCATTACCTTGATCATTTAACAGAATGTTCTCCATCTGAAAAAAAAGCAGCAAAGCCATAACCATTAAAAGCTCTAAACACACACGTGTGGAAGTTCCAAGAGTGATTAAAATGAAAAATATCATACTTTTATATCTCTGTGCATGATTCCTAAGTCATGTAGGAATCCTAGAAATAAATTAGAGACAGAGAGCAATAATTAAATGACATTAATATTTTTTTAAAGAAAAAACTGTACTGTGCGCTCAAGCATAATTTCTGTGACAGCACAAGCCATTTGATGAGCACTAACCTAGTGCGCTGCCCAGCTCTGCAGCAATGAGCCGAACCTCTTCCTCCCCAAAGTGGCTCCTCAGCAACCAACAAGTGTGCAGGTCACCAGTACTGCAGTAGTCACACACTGCAGAGGACCAGACACAAACATACTTCTCAGCACTTTGAAATCGGCAGCTTGGGTAAAGTAGATCACCAAAGGCGGAAATAAAAATAAAATAAAGCAATCTGCAAGGAAACTTAAAGTAAAAAAAACAAAAAACGATTTGTTCATCCCACTGTGGTTTGGGAAAGGAAGAAGTCAGGAAGAGGGTTAAGTCTAAAACACACATGCTCTTTGTTTCGTTAAACATCTTTTAGCCACTTCAGTAATCTTAACTGGAAAAAAAACTGCATTTGTGACAACAGTATAGGTAAGCAAAGGTCACACAGCAGCTGCAGCCACAGAGGACAGTTTTACCCAGGATGCTCATTAGATGGCACTGCACCTCTTCACTATCCAGAGATTTTTTTAGACTGCTTGGTTTTACAGTTGACAACTTTTTATTCTATGGGACCAAAGACGGGGAAAGGGGGAACTTCTCAGGAACAACAAAGGATAGCGGAAGAGGGGAAGGTCGAGCGGTGCCATCGTTTCTATTTATTAACTCACTAATGAAGAGATGGCGCTGCGTCTGCCAGCAGTCCTGCAGATTGTGGATAAAAGGGTGTTTGACCTGCCGCTGCAATGCAACAGTCGACACACACAGATGAACAGTGAACATTTAGTGAGGGATGCACAGAGAGTTTCCTGCAGTGTGAGGACTACGGACTATGGACAGAAACTATGCCACACCACCTACTGTAATCCTTTAAGTGGACCTATTAAGTCATTACTTATTTACTGTCTTAAACTGCTATAAATGATGCTCATATTATAGCAAAATTTTAAATACTGAAGTCAGTGTACAGTTCATCAGACTGGTCATCGATTTTTGCTGTGAGTTCTGAGAGTCCACCCACCTGATTACAAACCTTGTGTTTGTAAAGTACAGCCAATCAGAACAAAAGCTCCCCGACAGTGGATAAACAGAAGGGGTGGAGCAAAACTATGTATTAGACAGATAAGGATTATTTTGAATTGTGAGTCATGCTTTATGCGGCACTCTACAGTCAAGCCTTTGAGTTTATTGTTAAAGTTAGATCATTGCCACTTGCCCTGATCCTGATTCTTGCATCTTATTTTTCATATTTACCCTTAGCTTGGCTCCGGTCTTGTCTCTATCTCCTGCTCAGTCTGCCCAACAATGCACCCAGCCCTCTGGCTCAGCCATCAGCCTAGACGCCACCTCCGGCAACCCCAAAGCCCAATTCAACCTCCCTATTATTCATTACAAATCAGCTTAATTTATTCCATTTCCCCTCAGCTGTATCTACACCTGGGTTTGCCTGTTTGCACTCCCTTTCTGGATAGTAGCATCCAAAGACGGCGATATGAAGCTGGAAATGAGCATAATTGGTCGACTTTTATCATCACATTTATAATTGTACATAGTTTGTGCTTTTCTATAATAACCATATAACTATTATTTGCATTAAATTTAGAAAATTTTGCTTGACATGAATAAATTCCTTTCAGCAATGATATCCTCTCCAGTTTATACTTTGAGAAGCTCTACTAAGAATATTGCATTTTGACCTATTAGTAAGTATTTATGGCCAGCACATAGACAGTTTATAGCACTCTATAATTCAGCTGTATGCAGATGTAATATTTGTTTATTGGCATAATAATTTCTCGTTTATCATTAGCCTCAGCATAGGGGTTCCTACAGGAGCTTAAACTTTGCCCATATCTGTAAAAAACAATCTCTGCTACAATCCCTATTTACTTGTGTCATGGTTAAAAAAGCTGAACAGCTGACATAAACATTTATTTGATTATTTAATTTCAACTATTTGAATTTTGTTTCTATCAATGTTGTACCTGAACGATGACTTCCTCTTTTGACTGCTCCAGGACTCCGCGCTTCAATAACTCAGACTTTGGCAGAACCTGTATGACAACACAGGAAGAAAATTACACTAAAGATGTCCAAAAGTATCACATTTTTAACAGTATTTAGTTAATACTGGATTGACCTTAACTGCATAGATCTTCTCTTTGGAAATATCTTTGACTTTTAGGATGGGTCCAAATGAGCCTTTAGCGATCAAGCCCAGGATCTGTAAGCACAGAATTAGGCCCAGTTATCTTTCTGTTTCTCCTAAAGAACTTCTTCTCTTTGCGTCTTTAACTGGGTTGTGTTGTGGTCCGCAGTACCTGGAAATGATCAGGACATCTACGGTGTGGGAACTCGGGCAGAAAGACAGAGATAAAAGCCGGAGGAGTCCGGTCTGCGCCGGACGCCTCAGCGCCGTCCTCTGGAGGCAACAGGAGTCTGATGGGCTGCCTGCTGTCTGCTCCCACAGGGCGAGAAAATACAGCTGAGTGTCCGAGTCTATGAACGATGGAGACCCCCACGTTCGAGAGGAACCCGTGGCTGAATCGACGCTGAGCAGCCGGCCCCTCGCTCTAGATTTTAAAAGAACACATTATAATCGATAATATATATTTACTATTCAGATTTTATTTATCTTCACTTTATGCGGATATTTCTGTACACGCGAATCTATTTTGCATACTGCATTTGTTTGAAACGTGTTAAATCTGATAACTATTTGGAAAACACTCCTTGGACACTTTATTAGGCCCAACTGGTCGTTAATGCAATCTAATCAGCCAATCACGCGCCAGCAGCTCAACACATCTACGCATGTAGACGTGGTCAAGATGATCTGCTGGTGAACGGAAATAATGCATATATTTATATTCAGTTGCAACTAAAATCAGTAATATTTAATAGTAATGAAAGTGTTTCTTCCACTCTCTGAACAATAGCAATATGTTTTGTAATACAGCCACATCACAATTATTAACAGCCGGCAGTACCAAAATTTGGCAAGGCAGGAAACCAACAAACACAGAAAAGTATCCGTAGAGACTATAACAAAAGACTAAATAAATAAATAAAAATAAAATCTGCAGGAAAGAAACATCTGTGTAGCCTTGGAGAGTTTGTGACTGAACACTGGAATAAGAAGAATGCATGACAGGAAGAACATCACCAGGACAGTAAAACAAGGAGGCGGC